TGGTTGCATTGAATCCGGGTGATGACGTGGAGGTTGAGAGCGTGAGAGAGAGAGAGAGAGAGAGAGAGAGGGATCTAATAGAGAGACGGAGATAGAGAGAGAGTGAAGAGATTGGGCTTTTGACGAACAGGGGTTTGGAAGAGGAGTGAGAAAGAGGACGAGTTTTTACGGTAGAAATTGGAGGAGGAGGGGCTTCTTGGTTTTGGTTTTCGTATGAGAAGAGCAAAGGGATTATTTGAGCGACGACGCGAGAGAGAGGCGGACGAGGGGAGAGAAAGAGAGAGGGAGTAGAAGTAAAGAACAAAAAAGTATTCGGGGGCTATTTTTGACGTGTCTTTAAGGTGGGGGCAGACGCTAGCGTGCGCCTTTCCTTCGTGAAAATGCGTTGGCTCTCTGCATCTGGTGCCCGATTCCTCGACTAAAATGTACGACAAGAAAGAGATAATTAATTTGTTAGAGGGATTAATCACTGCCTTATCTGCCGATGAAAATTCTATGGGAGCCTCTTGTGAAATTATTTCATGAACTAAATTGAACGTGTGATGAGCTGCAGAATACGAAAAATTATTCTTTAGAGATAATGTGAGTTTTTATCAGACCAGTTCTTTTTAATTTACATGAGAAGCACACAGAAATATTTTTTAAAGTTATGCTTCTACTATGAAAATGGGTCAACCAAAATAGTCGGGTCTTGATGTTGTACTGAATAATTATGCGTTGGAGGTTTGACTTATCCATGAAAGATTCATTGATTCGCCTCGTTCAAAATTTACTGGTTCGATTTCTCGATGGGCCCCCCAGGAAGGAAGGAATGTAACTCACTCACCTTTCGAGTGTCATCTTGATGCGGTGGGAGTCATCTGTTCGAGCATGATTATCCGCAAATTCAATGTGAGTTTTTCCATTTTCACGACTCGTCAGGAGTTGACATGATAGGTTAGAAATGGCTATATTGCTCGCGGAGTTCGAGCCCTTGGATCATGCTTTCGTTGGTTGATGAGCTAACTGATGCTGGACACTCTCCGATCATCCCAAAAGTCAGGAAGTGAAGATTAATTTGTATAAAACAATAAGCTGGACGAAATCCCATCCTGGTGCATTATTTTGCGTTCGTTCAGGCGAACGCCAGAAAGAGGGAACACGTACCAAAGTCACCCCAAACTCAAATCAGTTGTCGTTGCTGACGCGTTTAGAGAGGGGCCGTGCTGATTCTTCCCAAAAATTCTCGACGCTCGACTGCACTGACTCCCTGGGCAAAACACAAAGAGCGAAGACCAAAAAAGCCCTTACGAGATAACCGGTTGCAGTACTGGAATACAACACAAAGGTCCCTGGCCGATCCATGCTATCATGTTTGCATCAAACGTTCAACCAACTCACCAGCAATTATCCAGTAATCTCGATGATGAAACCCAAATGCCGAAATAAAAAGAACCCCATTTTCGAGCCACTAAATAAGGTATCATAACGCGCACAATCTAGCAAAACAGCCAGTTCGAATAATTCCTTCCCATATATACCACAATCAATCGCTAAATATGAAAGTTTATAACCCCCGTCATCAATCGACCAATCTGTTGGAGTGTGAGAAGATGAACCTGCAAACTCGTATTTGTCATTTCAACAAATCACGGAAGAAACAACTGTATTTGCAACCATTGCGGTAAGTAACCCCATTAGAACAGTATGGCATCAACACTATTTTACATGAACCCTATAGCTGATTTCAGACAGGAACGGCAATAGAATGCTAGAAAATATATACTCTCTTTCAATTTTACTTAGGGGCAAAAAAAAAAGAAAAAAGAAAAAAGAAGCGAATGTTGCTGGAACACGAGTACGTGAGCAAAAACTGCCTATATATATATTATGGGTACCATAAACTCCTTTTGCTTTCATACTGAATCCATCCAGAGTAATATCTTCATCTATGTGTCCAAGGAGCTAATATTGTTTCCTGGGAGGGTACTGATCATTAATCTCCTCAACTATGCAGTTATATGTACGTTGAGGACCTGACAAGACCTTTGAAACGCGATCAAAATGGAAAGCGAGGCACAAGCTAATCCTGAGGTCCTGAACACTTGCTCACCAATCCAACGGAAGAAATAAGAAGAAAAAAATGCTGAAATAGTTTCATACTGTTGTAATCTTGTTGTTATATCTACATACATCACATATCATAAGTAAGAATCGAACATGAAATGTAAGAGTAAATAAATAGAGAAGAGAAGAGATAGGGAGAAAGTGATAATCTCATTTTATTCATCCTCATTTCTCCATACATTTTGTCTTCCATGGATTACATTATATAGATGTGGAAGAGAATACTAAAAGTCACAAGTAGGTGAAGAGACTTCTTCTAGTAATGTCCACATTCATTGTATTTATATTTACAACACTCCCCCTTGGACATTACTACATGATGTCAATGCCTCGTTAAAAACCTCGCTAGAAAAACCCAGTGGGAAAAAAAACTAGTCGAGAAAAAGAGTACATGACATACATACATTATTTCTGTTACATCAGTTGTCTCGTTAAAAACCTTTCGCTAAGAAAAACCATGTAGGACAAAAACTTAGCAAAGGAAAAAAAAGTACAACTATAGATCTTCGGGATCCAAACTTGTGTTGCATTAGTTGCCTTATTAAAAACCTTTAGCTAAGAAAACCCTTTGGGACAAAACTTAGCAAAGGGAAAAAGAGTACAACTATAGTCCTTCAAGGCGCAATCTTCGGGATTGCATTGAAAATTCGCTCCCCCTGATGATGACAATCTTCTGAGTCTATGCTAAGAAAAACCCAGTGGGAGAAAACTTAGCTAAAAGGGGCAAAATATGATAATAGACCTTCAGGGCCCAATCTTCAGGATTGTTCTTTAGGAATTTGCTCCCCCTGAAGAAGATAGTCTTCCAAGTCTATGCATATTGTGAACATATTTCTCATAAGTTGATGTAGGCAGAGATTTAGTGAACAAATCTGCAAGATTGTCACTTGAGCGACCTTTTTCGATGGTGATTTCGCCATTCTTTTGGAGCTCATGTGGATAAAAGAATTTTAGAGTAATATGTTTTGTCATGGTTCCTTTTACATATCCACTGCTCATTTGTGCAACACAAGCTGCATTGTCCTCATAAAGGACAGTGGGGGTAATATCATCTTTCGCTAGACCATACGAGCCACAAATATGTCGTATCAACAATTTTAATCATACACATTCTCGTGAGGCCTTATATAAAGCAATAATATCTGAGTGGTTAGAAAAAGTAGTCACCATGTTCTGCTTAACAGACCTCTAAGAAACGACAGTACCACCACAGAGAAAAACATAACCAGTCTGGGATCTGGCGTTATGGGGATCAGACATGTAGCCAGCGTCCTAATACCACCAATATCATATATTGGTTTCTTTTATAAAATAGTCCAAGATCTTTTGTACCTTAAAGATAGCGAAGGAAATGTTTAACGTGGCCGAGACAAAACTTGGTTTTTCCCAAGTCTTTCATTTCAAACTCCGTCTTTAGGCATGAGCTAGCTTCTGTAAGCTCCTTGTGCGTTCCAATAACATTTATATCATTAATATAGATTGATATAATAAAGAATCCATTTTCGAATTTCTTTATAAACACACAAGGGCATACATCATTATTTGCATATCTCCTCTTCAGGAGGAACTCACTCAGTCGGTTATACCACATTCTACCCGACTGTTTCAAGTCGTATAACGATCTTTATAATTTAATGCTATACATGTTGCGATTCTTGTTTTCTCTTAATTCAGGAATTTTAAGTCTATCAGAGACTTTCATATAAAAGACTCATATAAAAATATGGTCATGACGTACATATGCTGCATATATAAATTCATAGTTTCTGTCATATTAACTTGCGGAATGTAATACAATCACTAATAGGAGAATATTTTACATCTAAATCGATGTCGGGTCTCTGCGTGAACCCATTTAGCTATGAATCTCGCTTTATATCTCACCACACCTTACAATTCTCATTTATTTTTCTTACGAAGACCCATATATATATATATATCCTGCAGGGATATATGAACTACAGGTTCAAAATACTTTAGCGAGTTCAGCTCAGCCTCAATTGCCACTTTCCATCTCACCTAGTCCGAATGCTTCAAGCACTCTATTACCAACTTAGGTTCTGGATCCAGATTATTTTCGGAGATAGTAAGAGCAACTGTAGAGGCAACTATGTTGTCGACAACTTTTATATTTCTATTATATATTTCTCCTTTTTCACAAATTCGTGGCCACTTCAAAGCTTATTTTATGTCAACCAAATCCTCGTCATTTCCCTTAACAATTGGATTTGGCTGTTCCGCATCTCCAGTATTGTGATTATCAAGTGCACGTGTAATTTACTGGAGATTCCATCTTCAGGATGAACCTCTTCCGGAGGTTATGGGAGTGACTGTCTTTCTATATAGAATTTAGTTTGCCGCGAACTTTTATCTTTTTCATATGCTTCTAGCACAGTATGCTTCTGGCATACCAAATCATCAATGATATACTCAACATGAATAAGGGGCTTAGTCATTCTTTTCTTAGCAGATTATCATGTGAACTTCTGGTTCAGTTTGACTAGTACGTGGATATAAATATTGAAGATCTTTTTCACCAATAGAATATCTTGACATTATTTTGTATTTTGGGCACTAATCTCCCCCTAATGTCGAGAATCGATCTTCAATAAAAATGCAGTCAGCGTACCAAATTATAAATTGATCCCCTAACATGGGCCATAGGTACTAAATTATTGACGGAGTTTCATAAATAATGTATGTACCTTCACCGAGGTCCCATAGAGGTACGCTATGGTGGTGATATAGAAACATGGACTGCAAATAAAGAATACGCAGATGGGAAATGTTTCACTTCTACACCACGTATTAGATAAAGGGGGAAAATTGTGATATGCAGTTGGTCGGATTTGGTTTGAATGCCCCATTTAATTTAAGA